AAATAATGCATATGACTCACTTTATTGAAATACTCTATTGCAGTGGTCTGGAGCTGAACCTACAATATTTCTGAGGTATGCCTGTATTTCTGCCCTGTCCCTCAATCCATTAGCTACAATAAACTACCCAGATAAAGGGGGTGGGGTAAGAATAGCCAGTGCCAGGTAACCTGAGCTTAAAGCCTCTCCCTAGAGATTGAGTTCTTCCAAAGGCAAGGGCCAGCCCTCCCTACTCCAAGGGTCCTAGAGTAGCCTAGGAAGTTTGGGCACAGAATTCCTAGAGCTCTGGGAAAACCTTGGCATCTCACTCTAGAGAGCTGGGCCAGACATGACCACACTGGCCAGCCCTTCACATGGCTCGCAGTCTCAGAACGCAAAGCCCTCCCTGCCCCATTCTGGCCCAGTTCCTTCCACAGCCTGCCTAGGAGCCATGTGGCACCCAGACCTCAGCTTCCCACCAGTACAGCTATTTTTTGTTTTGCCTCCTTTATTTTACAAAAAAAATAACAATAAAGTCTTAGCTCTGTTTCACAAAAATAGATTCCTCCACCCCCAACCCACCGCCCTCAGCACTGGCCACAGTTTATAATGCACTATCCAATCTGTTGTCCTCCGTGGGGGAATCTCGGACAACCCCACCCCCAGAGTCTCTGGCAAATCCACTGGGCCTGTATGTTCCTCTTGGGAACTTCTCTGTAGGCAGCAGCCCTAGGTCCAGCTGGCTGGCGTCAGGGGTCCCATCTGCTTCTCCAGAGATCAGGCAGCTGCTAGGCCAAGGACAGGGCATTATTCTGGAGGCTTGGTTCAGACAATTCCAGCACACCTGAGAGTTGGTGGGACACTCTAGAATCAGGCCAGAAATCTTTACTTTAAGCAGGAACAATTGTGTTCCAGAGAAGGGCCGTCAAACCCTCTTTTCACTTGCATCTCATCTCCTTGTGAAGCAATACACTGACCCTGTGGTGGGAGTCAGGACTCCTGGTTTCTATTCCAGCTCCACGAAGTCTTGCTGTGAGGCCCTGGACAGTTTGTCCTTCCCCTCTTCCTGGCTTCAGTTTCCTCCTATGTACATGGATGATTCTGTGAGTGAGACCAGATGATCCTCAAATCCTTTCTGGCTCTCCGTCCTGGCCTCCCAGCATGGTGGCTCTGGGAGGTAACAGACCTGTCCTTGCCTCAGTTTCCCCACCCATGGGTCTGGAACACAGCTGGGCATGGGGGTGCTGAGTAATGGAGTGCTGAATGAGCTTCTCAGTTTCTCTGTGGACAGCTATGCTTTGAGATTCAGTCAGCTAGGATGTCTAAGGGATGGTAGGGAAGCAGGCAGATCCTTGCAAGATGGTGGTTCTCCAAGCCTGGAAGAGTCCATTTGCTAGTTTCATGGGCCTCAGTGTCCTGGGATGGGAGACAAGGCTCCAGAGCTTCCTGATTCAAGCTCCACTAGCTCTTTGGGTTGGAGGATTACCTTATGCTGGGCTTCAATCCTGGGAGCCAAGTCTATAGATTCTGGGAGCTAGATTGGAGTGTATGATTCTCAGTTTAAAGACCAGGGACCTTTGCGGACATAAGGGATCATCCCCAACCACCAGGCTGTCTATAATCAGGCCTTCCTGGAGGCAGAGGAATGAGCTGAAATGACAACTCCTGGGTCTCTGGCTGAGCAAATCAGAACCTGTCTCTTGTCACGGGTGAGGGGTAGGTACCCAGGGCAAGGCTCCCCTTCCAACCTCTCTCCAGCTCCCTAGAATTCATGCTTATGGAAGACAGTAGCCTGAAAGGTTCAAACATAGCACTACATCCATAACCACAATTTGTGCACTTACTCGGTCAGACGCACTGAGAGGGGACACTGACCTACCATCACTTATACAGTGGTCATGGTCTGATGGTCCCAAACACCCATCCATTCTGTGCAGTAACCATTTACCTATCATTTACGGAGGGCCTCCTGTGTGCCAGGGAGGGTCTAAGGCAGCTAGCTCTCACAGACCCACCCCACAGTTAAAATCACACACACATACACCCTGACATATGCGCTTACTCACAAACAGGCTGCTCACTCTTTTCTATCTTTCTTGCCATCACCTCAGCCACATCCACATCCCCCTGGTAGGCTTGGGAACACCATGGATGGGTCAAGTATCAGAGCAGAAACCCTTTAGCCTACCCCAGCCCTAGGCTTCCTGCCAGAGCCTTAATTCCTCCTTTCCTTCTGTTTCTCCCTTAGGTCTCTCATTCTTCATTCATCAGCAGTCAGGGGAACATGTGTGCAGACTCCCTAGACCTGGAAGTTCAGGGACTTTGGGTGCGGAGGGGTCCCAGGACTGTCAGCCTCCTCTGCCATCAGACTCCTGCGGGTCCCCTCCCCTAGCCACTCTGTGTTCAGATGGTCCATCTGACAGGCAACAACGTCCAGGCCTGGGCTCAGTGACAGATCCGCTCTGTCATCTCCCTCTGCAGAAACACAGGTGGGAAGGGGTCAGTCAGGGCTCAACTGGCCAGGTAGCCCCTTCCCAAACCATAGGGCTGGCTGCTCTTCTGCCTGAACCTAGCCTCTTCCAGCACCCCCACCCCAACTACAGGCTGAAGATTTGGGTTTGTAAGTTGACACTTGAATGAATTCTCTAAAAGTACAGAATCCATTGTAAATGAATTGCCTTCTCCTAATTCATCCACTTGGCTATTGGATTTTCTTAAAGCAAGTAGCCTTCTGATCTGAAAATTCATAGAGGCTAGCCCTGGTCGGGGAGGGTGGTGGGGGCTTGGCCTCACCAGTGGCTCCAGCTCTCGCTGGTCCACCAGGCTGAATTCGCGGATAAAGTAGTAGAAGTGCTTGTAGCAGGTGTTGACGTGCGCCTCGGCCCCCATGCTAAGGATGCTGTCAAAGTGGTGGATGTAGACATGGACAAAGACGCGGAAGAGGCGGGTCAGGATCTTGGTGCAGACCTGCTGGAAGTTCTTGGGGAAGGGAACTCCTAGGGGGTAGGGAAAGGCAGAAGTGGGGGGATCAGCACCCTGGTGATGAAGCCCTGCCCTCCCCGACACAGGCAGCCTTTGCTGCAGATGGTCTAGGACCCCTCCCTGTGCAAGAGAGAGATCGTGGTTTGCTTTCTCTCTTACCTCCCTTTTGAAGGATGCATAAATCTCCCTTGCTGAAATACAAATAATCTTCAACCCTCTCCCATCACCCTGAGCAGGGCTCTGCAAACTTATTGGGGTTATGACCAACCCTTCTTAGACTATGATAAAAGTTATGCCCAAACTCTCCCCAAAAATATATGCATCAGCAGGTGTACTCACGTGATATCCTTGGATACAATTTCAAGGAGAGTTCAAAAACTGGGGTCCATTTTTTAAAGCATGGGCCTACAGGATTGAGTCCTATCTTCCCAGCATGGCACCTATTGAAGGCCTTTCATGATCTGATCGTGATCTCCCTCTCCAGGCCCACACCAACTCCTTCCTCTCTACAGTTAATTCACACAGCAGGCCCCCAGATCCCCAATCCTGAGAATTACTAAATCTTCAAGAACTAGTTCAGGTAACTCTCATTCCTTCAAATATTCAATAACAGAAAGAACCTTCCATTTATGAGCCAGGCCCTGTGCTGGGTCCTTTGTGCCTTTTGCCTGGTATGACATCCATTCTAGACAGGATAAAATGTGCATAAAGGTGGAGTCGCTTGCCCAAGGCCATATAACTATTAATTGGAACAGATTGGAGGCAGGGTTCAAACCTTCTCTGCACAGCACTGCAGTGCCCCTCAGAGATAAATACCATAGATCCCCCACAAGAGAAGCCCCAGGACCTGTAGAGAAGGCACAGTTCCGGCACAGCCCCCATGCTCAGTGAGGTGGAGACCCGATGGCTACCCACTCTTCTCTGCTGTGGCAGAGCCATCCCAGGGATAAGGACAGATACCTGGGGTTTCACAGGCCTGGGCAGTAAGGCAAGAAAGGAATAAGAGCTTGGTGCAGACCCCCACCAGTCCACTCACTCCAAAGAGCCCTCTTTCCTCACTGCTCTCAAGTGGGGTTGAGTCCCACCTCCCTGTGGGCCCTTCCAGGCCCAGCCCAGGTGCCCTACACTTGTCCTGCCCATCTAGATGTGGGGCCCAGGGCCCCAAGAGACCTGAGCTGCAGTTCTGAATCCCTGATTCCACACACTGTCTGTCTCTTGGCCCAGTTTCCCCCCATGTGGAGGGCATGATGGTGCAGGAAATGGCAGGCCACCTTCTGGGGAGGAGCTGTGGGCACTGAATTGTGACTCAGTACCCAGCTTCACTTCGCATTCAGACTTCTTTCCTCTGGGCTGGGCTACACTACCCCACCCACCTCTGATTCCTTTAACTGTAACACCATGAATGTGAGGCCAGGTGGGGGTGGGGCTGCTGTGATGAATACAGTGTCATGCCTGCTCAGCTTCTGGGCCAACATCCACTCCTGCTGCCCTTGGGTGGGGAAGCAGGACTAGGGTGACATCACTCATCTCTCCTCTCCACCTTCACACGTCCAGGCTGCCCAGCAGAGGTAAGAAAAGGCCTAATGGCTTGGGCCCGACCAGGGAAAATTCTGCCCTCAGAGACCCCTGAGGAGGAGATACCATCTTCACCTTCTTCCGTTTCCTGGGGCTTGGAGTAAGAGGGAGCTCCCAGGAGGCTGCAAGTCGGATCAGCCCAATCAGAGCGCCTGCTAGGAGCCCCTTGAGGTGCCTGCTCTGGAAGGTTCTGAGAATCACAGAGGTCTTGCCAGGATGGTCCCTGGAGGGACACTCAAGCTTTAGACAAGAAGAGCCCCAAACTGGGAGTCAGGATCAGATGCCTGATCTTGAGCACTCCCTTAACCTCTCTGAACTTCAGTTTTCTTTTCTACAAAATGGGGATGAAAATCCCTGCCCCCTTACAGAATTGCTAAATCATTTAAATGCCTGGGCTGTGGAATGGGCTAAGCGGCTCCCTCCCTCCCTGGCTAGGCCTGATGTGCCAGCTGGGCGGTACTCACCAACACGTGTGGGAAAGACATCCTCATCATTGATGAGGCCCTCAATCCAGTCCATGAGCAAGGCCATATAGCGTGGTGCAGAGAGCTTGGCAGGTCGCCGGTACTGGCGCTCATCCTGCCAGCGGTACTCATAGCGGGGCCCTCCTGCCATGACTGGACAGCTGGTCTCGCTGCAGCGTTCAGCCATGGTGCCATAGATGAGGTTGATGCGATTGAAGAAGTCCACCACGTGCACGGCGATCCAGTCGTCGATGTTTTCACCAGGTGGCAGCCTCACCACACTGCGCAGGTCCAGGCCCGACTTGAGTGATGCCTGAGCCTTCTTATACAGCTCAAAGCGCTGTGTGCCGGGCTCAAAGCGCTTGCGAGGACGGAATGTCTTGTCCTTGGCGAACACCTGCTTCAGGCACAGCGCCATGGCCAGGCTGGATCCAAGGCCAGGTGTCCAGGGGTACGGACTTGGATGCCAGAGCCAAGGGTATGGGAAAACACAGTGGTCAGTCAAATGGGCTTTGACTTCCCAACATATCATTCGTCTCACCTCTCAGCTTTTGGCCAACCTCTGCTACCCCTGCCTGGCATCGAAATCATCCCTAGGTCCAGCAGCCCTGCTCTATTTCCAGGCTACCCTACCTCCCCCTGTCAAGCTCCCATAGCCCTCCCATCCTCTCCACTTTCACTGCATCTCAGAGGCCTGGAGCGCTTTTCAGACTTGCTGTGGACCATTAGAGAGGTGGCAAAGGCTTCCTGCAGGCACGCCCACCAGAAGGCAGGGGCCTGGATAAAATGACCTTAGGGGGCCCCACAGGCCAGCTGGTGCAGCGTGGGAGAACCTGGCTGCATTGTCTACAGGGAGGCGGAGGGCCCCGCCTTCGGCTTCCTCTGGGATATCCCATGATCCATCCCGCCACGGGGGATTCCCAGGGAGCAGGAGGGACTTTTCTACCGAAAATGTACTTTCCTTTTATTACCCTGAAAGAGGAAAGGGCCCTCATATAGCCAGCTGGGTGGCCCCTGAATATGACTGCAGGTGCTGTTGGAAAGGAGGAGATGGTAGGCCTAGAACGGTGTCACTTCCTCCAACAGTGGCTGGAGATCCTTCCTCCTAAGCCAGGCTACTCCAGCCCCAAACCCGAACAAGCCACTGGCTCCTCCCCCTGCACATGACACTCAGCAGAGTTCCCAGAGCGCCCACCATGTGCCTGACATCAGGAAGTAGGAGAATGTAGCCAGATCCCAGCTGGGCCCATCTAGAACTCAAACAAATTTGATTTGCCTCCTAGAATTGAAGGATCCCAGACTCTGAACAGACTTTGGGGGCAACAATCAGAGCCCCAGGCTTGGGGGCATATATCCTGGTTCTAGTACCAACTCTACTGCAACTGCGTGACCCTTTTAGTAGGCATGGAGTTGGCCCATGCAACTTCCTAGGGCTCTCTGATACAAGCCAGATTTCTGGGACTCTCAGGGTAGTCATCTCTTCTCCCCTGTGAGTGTGGGGCCTCTTGGAAAATGCAGACCTAGGTACCTGTTGAGTCTGAAATTTAGCCACAGATGGAGCACTGACACTGACCCCAGGCTGAGCATTAAGGTGTGGGTTAAGCACTGAGTTCTGGCTCCAGGCTGAACTCTGACTGAGCCCTGACCCTAGTCAATTTGAATCCTGACTCAAGCCCTAGGTTGAGGCTTGAAATAAGCCACAAAGCCCGGCTTGACCTCAAAGCTTGCACTGGAACATTTTCCTTACTCAAGTCTCTAGTAATGCTGAGACAGGATTGGGGAAGGAGGATGGGAACAAGGCGACAGTGGGTGTGACCAAAGGCACAGCACATGTGGGCTGGAGGGAGGTGTCACCTCAGGCAACAAGTCAAGCTAGTAGAGGAGAAGTTTAGAACAAGGGCTCTTCCTCGTACCCATAACCGGCAGGCCAGGATGGGGACAGTCAAGTAAAATGAGGAGAGTTCAGAGAAGTAGGGGCAGGTCTCCCAGCAGGATCTTGTCCTCTTGGGAAAAACCCTCCAAGATGTGGCAGTTCTTCTCATCTACCCCCTGCCCCTCAACTTCTAGCCCCAAGTCCCAAGTGTGGGACCTGAATTTCCTGACCCAAGAAGAGATTTCCATGCTTCATTTGCTGCTGTTGCTGCGTTCTGAATTTTGCTTGGGGAAGGTGCTTCCAAAACCACTCATACTGCTTTAGGTGGGGTTCCTGGCTCTCCACCATCATATGGCCTCCTTCACTGCAGTTACCAGCAAACCCTCACTCTGGCATTCCATACGTCACCCTACCTTTCCTGTGCCTCTGCCCTGGGCAACCACCCTGGGCTGCTTCTTGACCTCTGAACAGGCCCCCCACTCTCCCAACTCTGTGTGTTTTCTTACACTGTTCTCTCTGCCTGCCTATACATGGTCAGGCTGAATGCTACCTCCTCCCACAGGCCTGTCTACTGAATTCAGATCTCTTTCTCCTGGGGTGGAGGCTGCTTCTTGGTCATTGCTGTCCCTACCATACCACTCCCCAGCCTAGGTCAGGACCTGGACATAACAGATACTCAGGCTTTAAGGAAAGCTTAGAATCAAGATCTTAGGTCTGAAATAGCCCTGAGAAATCAGCTGACTCAACATGCTTCTTGTACAGATGGGGAAAATAAGGCCCAGAAAGAGGACTTGAGGAGATAGGCTTCACATAGCAAGTTACAGACAGGGAATCTCCACTGGCAGAACTGGGAAGTGGGATAGAGTGGGACTTAGCCCAAGACAAAGAGTAAAGGGCCATTTTCCTGCCCTGGCTGGTTGCTGATCTTGTGGAGGGGTCATGGAGGGGAGTGAAGGAAGAAGGGGAGGCATGTTCCTACCAATTAGACCAACCTAATTCCCATTACCCCAAACACACTGAGCCTCCCCCATGCCCTCACAGCAACTCCGGGGTCCTGGCCAGTGAGCTAGTCTCACTTTCAAGGTCTGGGTCTTTTCCCAGGAAAGTGTAAGCTTGGGTGGCATCTATCCATGCCGCTTTCCACTTCCCATTCTCATGCCCTTCCATCCCATCCCTCACAGGACCTCTATCCCCTCCTGGAACCAAGGCCACACTGCCTCCTAGCCCGTTTCCTAACTCTGGGTATCTGTTTGCTCCTAAAGTGCCCAGGGATGGCTCACTCCCGGGATGGGCGTCTGGGCTTCTCACATGAAGACCACGCCTGTTTCTGACTTTCAGCCCCCTGCCAAAGCCACACCTACCACTCCTCGGGGCCTGGCCCAGGATCTTGGCTGGCAGCTGGCCCCAGTATGAACTTGGAATCCAACCTAGGGCTGTGCGATGTGGGGGTGCCCTGAGGGCAGAGGTCCAAGAAAAAAGTAGAGGCGGGTTCTGCACGCTCTTTCCCGCGACGCTCGGCCACCCAAGCCCAGCCCTTGACCTTACCCTTTGCTCCCAGACTCCCTCCTCGCTCTCACCCAGCAGCCGCGACCAACCGGTGGAAGGACCCAGAGGCACAGGGCTGACATTTCCGCTCCCGAAGACACGCCCCCCTCAAACACCGCCACCACCCCCCGGCTCCAGCTTTCGCAGCTCCGAGCCTCGGACCCCGGACAGAGGAATGCTGTCAGCCTGCCTTCGAACAGAGGTCCCCTCTGGACAGTGCCACGTCGGACAGCCCAAGAAATGGAAGTGGAAGCAGGACTGGGCCCAGTGCGCGGGGGGGGCGGGCGCTCACTCACGGCGTCCGCCTCGAGGGTTAGCAACGGTCCTCCCCTGTCCGTGGGGTCACATCCCCAGCGCTCAGGGTCGCTTCCTTCTCCCGTCCTTCTGGTGTGCCGATTCTTGCCTGTCCTCCAGTCTTCCCAGCCGGGCCGCGGTCGCCCTCCCGCCCCCGAGGCGACGCCAGCTCCGCCCCGGCCCTCTTGGGCCCCGCCACGCTGCGGCCAAGGGGCGGGGAAGGGGCGGGGAAAGGGGACCCCCTCCTGGGGCTCGCACTCCAGCCTTCCGGAAAGTGCCTGCCGTGTTCCAGCTTCCCCTTGGGCGAAAGACTAACTGAGCAGCCGGCCCTCTCAGCGTCTTTTTGGACTTCTGCCAAGGAGGCAGCCTCGGCTTCCTCGACTGTAAAATGGGGACAAGCCCGGCTTTTGTCTGGAGCAGAAGCAAAAGAGCTGCTAGATAATTGTTTCTTGCCCTCGGTCTCACTCGTCCCAGAGCTCAATAAGGGA